GTTCCCCGGCCGCGGTTGATTCAATGCCCCCATCCTTGAATAGTAACCTGGGTCGTAGTAGTAGGAGGAGTAGTAGTAGTAGTAGTAGTAGTAGTAGTAGTAGTAGTAGTAGTAGTAGTAGTAGTAGTAGTCCCTAAAAGTCTAAAACCTAAACCCCTGACCCCTAAATCCCTAAATCGTAAACCCCTAAACCCTAAACCCTAAACCCCTAAATTATGGGGGGGTCCTTATTTAAATTTTAATTGTAGTATGATGGGCCCCAAAACCCTATTCTAACTATGAAGGCCCCTACATTACTCTAGAAGTCGCGCTGTTTTTGCTAATGTTATTCCTTCTGGTTCATGAGATTTGAAAACCTTAGCTTTAGGGTTGAGGGTTTTTAAAGGTTTGGCTTTGAGCAGGTCCTGTGCGACAGTCGGCTTTCCTTGAAGACTCAGCGAAGGGCAGAGACCTCAGCGGATGTTTTCGTTACGGGGCCTTGGGTGTCTGTATCGGTGGACGTGGTGAAACGATGTTTGCCAAAAAGCGTAGGTTAGAAATTCACTCTTGTCGGTGCCGGCGTGGAGAACTTGGGGGTTCAGATATTGTGGCTTTTGGGCTGAATGGGTTTAGACGGTTTAGAGTTTCCCCAGCCCCTAAAATCTAAAGTCCCAAGAACTGTAAAGCCCTTTGATTCTTAACTAATCACTCCTCGATGAAACCCTTTCCAAACCAAGCCACCTATACAAACCCCACAAAGCCCCACAGCTCATCGCCAAAAAGCGCGATAAGCCCTTACAAGTCCATACAAGCCAAAACCCCTAAACCTTAAACCCTAAACCCTAGACCTAAAACCCCTAGACCCTAAACCCTAAACCCTAGACCTAAACCCAAAACCTCTAAACCCTAAACCCAAAACCCCGCTAATCCTTCAAACCCTCAATCCTGAGCGCGAGAAAGCGGATGATGCGAGGCCCCTGGGATGGCGTGACAACCGAGCTCTTCGGCAGCCTAATATAGGGGCCTTCATAATTAGGGTTTAGGGTTTTAGGGTTTAGGGTTTAGGGTTAAGGGTTTAGGGTTTAGGGTTTAGGGTTTAGGGTTTAGGGTTTAGGGTTATTAGAATACTATAATTATCACAAGGAACCACCCAAAACCTTCGGCTGTAACATGGAAGCCTTTAGGGCTTTGGGTTTTGGGTTTAGGGGTTTAGGGGTCTTGGGGTTTAGGGGTCTTGGGTTTGGGGTTTAGGGTTTGGGGTTTGGTAACATAGAAGCCTAATATGGGGGCCTTCATAATTAGAATATGGTTTTGGGGTATATCATATTATAATTCTTATAAGGAACCACCCAAAAACTTGTTCTAATTTTTAAGGGCCCTACGTTAAACAGTCTTCTGAACCCTACTTCTGGCTCTCTTAAAAAGGACCGTATGGAGGAGAGGGTCTATATCTTCAAGGGTCCCCCCTAATTCTAACTCCAACCTTGGTAATACATATATAGAAGCCTAAATAGGAAATAGTTACCAATATTATTCCCGAGGGTTTCCGAATCTTTGAACGGGGTTCCTGTACGGTACGGGTGCTGTTAGGGTTTCAGGTTTAGGCCCTAGTCCAAGTAGAAGCCAGCACAGCAAAAAGTCTCTTACGGTTTAAGGCCAGGTTCAGGATTTAGGGTTCCGTGAGGGTCATCCTGAAGAGTCGGTTTAGGGTTCAGGGTTTAGGGTTTTAGGGTTTAGGGCTTTTGTGTTTAGGGTTTAGGGTTTAGGGTTAATAATGCCATCCCGAAGGCTCCGCAATAGCTTGTAACACGGTTTAGGGCTTAGGATTTGCATTAGAAGGTAATGTAGGGGCCTTAATAATTTGAATACTATTTTGGGGGGCTCCTTATCATAATTATAGTATAATGGGCCCTGAACGCCCCGTTCGAATTATTGGAATTATTAAGGCCCCTATAGTACCCCAAGACCCTGTTTTTAGCGGTTTTAAGGCCCCACTACTGGCAGCTTCTTCGCGGATCTTTTCGGGGTTCCATAGCGGCTGCGTAAGGGCTCTGTAGCTCCAAAAAAAAAAGCACGGTTTAGGGTTTAGGGTTTAGGGTTTCAACATCAAGCGAGCCTGGAGAATCCAATGTTAGATGGAGGATCAGGAGATGTTGGTAAGCAGACAAGGTAGCCGAAGGTATCGATGACGACGACTACCACTTTCACCACCACCACCACCACCACCACCACAACAACAACAACAACAACCACGTATGGAAGCGGCAAGGAAGAAAGCCAAGCGGTCGCGCAGTGATGAGTGATCAGTGATCCGTGGGCCCGTGGGTGAA